AGTGTAGTTTTGTTTAAGAAGAACAATAACAAAATGACTTTTCCCACCTAAACTGGCTGCTGAAATGAAGAACACCTCAAGTTATGTGGGGTACTTATTGCCCAAGTGTTTTGGGCAAATGAAGCCTTCCCTGAACGAGCATCATGAATACGGTAATCCTTATTCGTCAATCCCATGAATTCATTTCTCCCTCACAAGAATGATTGCCCAGATCCCGCGTTACAGTCAAAAGAGGAAAGTGCACAGAGTGGAGCAAAGAATGGGCGGGCAGGGTGCCTGTGGAGCTCTTTGAAGGTGAACTCCACCTGCTGGACTTAGCAGCACCAGGTTTGGCTTCAGATTTGCCAGAGTGCTCAGCGTTCTGTGCAGGGCAGAAATGCCCATTCAGAATAAAACTGATGAAAATGAATCCTTAATTTACAAATTGCTATAGCTACAACCAAGGATTTCAGAGTGCCTTCCTGGTTTTTTTAGTTCCAGTCTCTCTCTATTACCTTCTATAAAGCGTTTTCACCTGGAGAGGACACCTCTGACCTGTGGGGTTTCATGCAGCATTCATCTTGGCATTGCAGGTGGATTGCAACCTTCTGACACCATATTGCATGGCATTGCAATACTGGATTGCCACTGTATACCGCAATGTCAACTCTGCAGTCACCATAAATATTGATGTGTGCCGACTTCCGAACATTTCCTCTTGGCCCTTTTCCCGTGCTCTGTGTGCTTAGGCTGCTTCTGCATTGATGGTCTCCACTTACGGACATCATCTTACTGTTGTTCCGGTGGCAGCTTCATAGGTTCTAATGCCCAGGCACAAGTATTTATGGGGAGCCACCAAAGCTCAGTCCGGATGGCCTCTCTGCAATCTCACGAATCGTTCCATGCCCAGAATCTGGGATTCGGACTCCCTGTGCCCCTTTCATTCAAATCCTTCTCAAATTTAGGTCCTCGGAAAGAAACACCTGTGATCGATCAAGGGGGACAGCGGGGAGGAACCATTTTTGAAATACCTTGGCTGTGCCCCTGTACCTATGCTCCCACGCTAATTTTATTTGGGAATGAGCTCTTCTGAACACGGGAAGAATAGTTTCTGTGTAAATATGGGCTGAGACGTTTGCTCCGGAACATAGGGAGGTGCAGTGGTGCTCATCCAAAGCATGGATTCATCCGGTCCATTGCCGTTTGTGTTGGCTGGCAGCAGCGCTGCCACATCAGAAGTGGGGATCTTTTCCTAGTCTTGTTCACAGACCTGTTCTTGCATGGAAAAACCAGGGGCTGGATCTGGGCTGCCAGTCTGTGAATCATAAGCCTCCCATTGGACAATGGGGTCTCTCTTACTCATATCAAGAGTAGTATAGACAAATCAGAGACGAGGAGGGAGCATCCTCCCTGGTAGTTTAGTCTAGTGTAGAAAAACATTTTGTATGGCTGTTGGTGAAGCTTAACGCCCCATTACTTGTCCATGAAAGACATGCATAATGGACGGACCGGGCAGGTGGACTGAAGGGGCTTGATCAAAGCAGAGAGACAGGGCAGCCAGGCGCAAGGAATGTCTTCTAGGACCAGGCAAAATGGCTTCATTCAAGGCTGGAAGTGCAAAGGTTAATGCCTGTATAAGCATCTGCACTTCGAACGCCATCCCTACCTGGAGAGCACAACCACATTATTATGGATGTTTTAGTGCTTTGTGGTCATTTTCTCCTGGTCTGTTTTCCAGTGGTTATGGGAAATAATATCTGAAAAATTATTGTGTGCGTTCTTCCTGTGATCTTCTTCCCTCTAAGTTAATGCATTTAGTATTTTTAGTCTTCCCTTCCATAACTTGTTAGCCTTTCCAATTCACCAGTAGGTGAACAAATTTTTAAGTTGATAAGTATTTTGCTTTGTGTAGAGAAATGCGTGCTTCCCTGAAAATTATGTTCAGATCATTTTTGAAGCTCATGCTCCCTATAATTGGGCTGTATTGCTTCTGTCAAATAAGAACCAAACATGCCATGATGTGGAACATGAGAATTATACAACCTGTTGTGTGGATCAATCTTGTGCCCTTAGTTACAGATGCTTCTAATACAGGTTGTGGTAATGAATTAATTACAGTTGGTTCAGATGATTTTATCAAAATCACAGAACAAGTTCGCTAAAATGTTTGCAATCCTTTTTGTTGCTGAATGCAAGAAAGAAAGAATCAAGGAGAAAGTTTGTCTGTAGGGCTATAATGATGTCCTAAAATGGTAGATAACATCCTTTCCATCCTGTGTCTGTATTTATGCTCAAATAATTTATTTAAATACTGTTGCTTTATTGCTTCCTGTATTTTGCTGCACAAATTTCAGCCTATACTGCAGACAGTGCAATTCATTTGCTAAATGTAATTTCCATCTCTGCATACTAATCGATTTCTGCACAAACACCTGCTATCAGTTATGATAATAAAACTGCCATTCCAAATTGAAAAGGGGCCAAATGAGGCTTCCTAAGGAAATGACTTAAGTGCCTTTCAATGCCACTAATGCAGTAATGGTTCTGTAGCACCAACATTTTTCCAAACATTTGCATTTTCTATCATTTTTATTCCGTTCCACCATCTCTTAATCTAAGCATAACCCAAAGGCTGAGAGGAAGGGGAGTTGGACATCTATGTGGCCAGTCTTAGATTTCATCTTTGGGAATACCTTAGCTAGATAAAATTGTTAAGCTTGAGCAGGGCAGAGGGTAGCATAAAGAGGACAGAAGTATTGATCTAGCTGTGTGGCTCCTGCTAGAAAAGAAATATTCCATTAAAATCAATGTCTGTTAATGTCTATTCGGGGAATCACATCTGTGCATATAGGGTTTGAAGATTGTGCTCTTGTGCAGTTGCCTGAATTGGAAGGCGCAAGATCAAAACAACAATGGCAGCTCAGTCTTGGTCTTCACATTGTTCCCCAGATAAATTTAACGACCCAAGGAGGAACCTGAGCTTTTTCCCTTCAGAAATAACTCTGTGCTTCAGGGCCAACATTTAAGCGGCAATCCTGTACTTACTTTCCTGAGAGTAAAGATCGATGAAGTGAATGGGGCTTATAGCAGGGAATAGAATGTTGCTGTCAATGCAATTTAATTTTGCAATTCTGTTAGCATAAGGAAGGCTTAGCAAATGATACATAATAATTGCGCTGTACATTTGAAATAATTTTTCCATGTATAAATCCTGAACCTCACATGCAGAAAAACTTCAGACATCACATTGCTCGGATGATCTTAGCAAATGAGAAGTGGGAGAAAAATCAAAGTAGATTTCCTCTTACGCACTTTCTTGCTTTGATTTCAAACCCCCTTTCATTAGGCCTTGGAGATGTTTAAATATTTTATCAACTTTAAACGTCAAGAAAAATACATTTATCTGCAAAATTGAAGTGGTATTAATTGTACTCTTCCAATATCCCCAGTGACAGAACCCAAGGAAAGTATGAAGCAATGTCATTTTGGAACATGTTTTTGTTCAGACAGATCACTGAGAGACACAAGTCTCTTGAAGACGGTTGTTTACATAACTCGACAAACTTTAGGGACCAAAGGGCTGTACGATAACCTTTAAGGCAGAGTTCAAAATATCACTGCTCCCCAGTGGAGGACCAAAGCTCTAACACAGGCTTAAGAACAAAGGATCTTGTCTGCTTTTATTTGTTTCAGATAAGCTTCTAAAGGGCATTTTCTGATTCCTTTAATAATCTGATGCTTCAGTAATGAGGATTAGGAAGAATTTCTTCCTCTTCTGAAGGTATTGGTGGGAGGAAGTTTTTCTCCCCCCCCCCCCCTTTAAGGTCAAGGTAGTATTAAAAAGCTATAACTGGTGGCAGATTCGGTAGGAAGAAGTGTGTGCAGGCCTGGAGCCTCTTCACATGTTTGTTTGCTTTCATGGAGCTCATCTGCCCAAAGAAAAAGGAATGGGCTTTGTAGTTTCATTTCAGGTGTGACAGGAACATCCTTCTTGTCCAAATTAGCACAGAACTGCCCAGCTCTTGAGGTCTTGCTTCAGAGATACGGAGTAAGCTATTATGTCTGACTGAAGCAATTCTCCAAAGATTGGATTCTGTTTGCCCGACAGAACAGGTTTACTTGAAGGCATTTTTCTTCAGATTATATCCACTGCTTCCCCTAGGAATTAATTTCCCTGCCTCAGTAAATCACGCGCTTGAGACATACCTGGTAGTTTGGCTAACTTTGTCCTTTGTCCTCAGAAAGCCCAGACTGAATTCAGGCATCACCTTAAACATAGTGAAGGAAACTTGAAAGTTAGTTTATAAACTATGGCTTATATTAACCGTGATCTGGCAGTATCTTTGAACCGACAAACTGTAATTGTGCTCCTCTCTCCATCTATGGGGCTTCTGAACCACAGAAATAGGAGTGGATTTACGGAGCAAAAATAAAAGCAGAAAAGTAGCACTAAAACTCATGGTTTACCCCATGAAGCTCAGCTCTGGATTTGGGCTCTCAATTATGGTTAACACAAACGGTAACCTCTGTCACAAGACACCACGTTTGCTTATATGGTGCCAAAAACTGGCTCACAAGAGATGTTCTGCGGGCAGCCTTGCATGGTCCATGAGCTGCTGTCCCTCACAACCAGCTCCACTGCAACAAAAACCAAACCAAAATGGCTCACAAACCAGCTAATCTTGTCCTTACCAAGCTCCCATAGTGGTTTGCCGCTCAGATATTTCCCGTTGCCTTCTCCCAAGGTTTTTTTGGGGGGGGAGGGGGGAGTTTGGGGCTACATGTGGCCTGTGGGCCAGGAGGGGCCCACCACATCAAGCAAAGGAGCGTCTGTGCATGTGCAGGGGCCATCTTCAGGTGCTTCCGTGGAACGTCCCCCTCACCCTGTAGGAGAAGTCTTGCCCGCTTTCGTTTGTCCAGTGAGTACAGCTGCGAGCCCACGGTGCTTCTCCCGTCCCGCCAAAACGGGCGTGGGGCTCCGCTCCACCCGCGACAGCGATCCTCTTTCTCTTCCCCCTCAGCACTTGCTGCCCAAGCCTACGCCCTGAAGGAGCAGAACGACAGCCTGCGGTGGCAGCTGGACGCCTACCGCAACGAGGTGGAGCTCCTCAAGCAGGAGAAGGGGCAGCTGTTCCACGCAGAGGAGAACCTGAAGAAGGACCAGCAGCTGCAGTTCTTGCAGCAGACGCTACAGGGCATGCAGCAGGTACGCCGGGCGCATCGCGGGGTGGGTGCTGGACTCGGCCTCCGAGGCTGGGGGTCTGTCGCAAAGGCCGAGCCGAGCCGAGCAGGCCTCCCACGGTGAGATTCTGGGAGGAAGAGGTGGGATGGCTTTTGTGGAGCGTGGCCCCACTGAGGAGGAGGAGGCAGAGCTCGGGAGAGCATGTGTTCTCTCAAAGGTGGAGGCCTGGTTCCTCCAGTTAAAGGGTCCTGGAGAGCCAGACTGGGGAGAGTCTTTGCTCGCCAGTCGTGCAAGCATGGGAGCTTGCTGGCTTCACAGGGTGCAGCAAGCTGAACGACAAACCTGGAATGTGCTTCCCTTGGAGTTACGCCCGGTTCCCACTCCTCATGTGTTTAGGAAGGGATTGAGACATGACTTTTAATTTTTCAAAAAGTGCAATGCTTTTAATGTGTGCTTATGGTGATATTTTCTCCTCCTCCTCCTCCGATGTCTTGAAAAACACTGGTTATAGAAAAGCTCTATATGCAATTAATCAGTAAACAGTGTTCATTATTAAAGGGGCAAAGTGGGTTTAATATCAATATGGGCATGTACTGAACCCATTCCATTCCTAACAGCGCAGCGGCAGTATTGGATGCAAAGGAATATTAGCATAGTTTCCACTGTGCTGCAGGTGTGATCTTGTGTCACACGCAAATGCAGTTGCGAGAGGAAGAGCTGGAAAGGGGAAGTATGCATGGGAAGTGGCCCTTTTCAAACGGGCCCCTTGAGGTTATGACTATTAACTATTAAAAGTGCATATGGACTAGAACTTTGAGCCCTGGTGGTCCCCGGACATGTCTGCATTTTTTAAGTCCTCCCACAGAGTCAGGCATTCTGGGGGGCGTGGTGTCAATGAGAGCAGCTATTGGTGCCCCTCCTCTTGGAGCAATGAGCTGGGCACACTCGTGGTCACATGCTTCGTATCCAACAAATGGAAAAGCACCTGCCTGCCTGAGGTTCCCTCCTCACCACTTAGCCTCCCGTGCTCCAGCTTGCGGAAGCGTGATCGTGGTGCATGGACCCAGCCGAGATGTGTGTCCTTGTTGCCATGTGGGTGGGCAGAGGGCAGGAATGGCTCAGGGTAAGAAAATGTTTTGCATGGTTATTTGTTTCAGGTCAGGAGAGATGCCTTTTTATCAGGGGGATGTGTGCATGCAAAGTTAATTTACAAAGGTGGGTGGGAAGCAGCTTAATGAAATCTCCGGGCAATATTTCAAGGAAGAGAGCAACCTTGCAGCTATTTATCTTTCTGTCCACCTCCACACACAAGCTCACCCGCTTTGCAAACGTCATGGATGTTACCCCCAGAGAGACACCAGAGGAGCACCAAGACCCTGAAATCAGAAAAATAAGTGACGCTTTTTAAAGAATCTGCACACCCGGAGTGAAACGACTGAGCACCGGAGAACACGGTGCCGGTCGCTGGTCATGCCAGCCCATGGCTGCTTCTGAGAACCTCTGTGGCATTCTTCTGTCGGGTGTTGTGCTGCCAAAGACAGGCCAGTTGAGGGAGAATTGCGTTTTCCCAGCAATCAAATAATAACGTTGGGGTATGGGGAAATGCGATTTCCTCACAACCAAAGTGCTGTGCAGATAGCTGTAAAGGAAAAGAGTTTTAATTTCTCTCCAAGTGCTGGGAGGGACTGCACATGTCTTGAGCAATGAACTGAACTTCAGGAAAAGCCTGCCATGGAGGAAAACATCTTCCAGAAAAAGTAGATGGAGTTTCTCTTTTGAAGAAGGAGGTAAATAATACAGCATGATTTATTTGCAGGTTACTACTACCATTTCTTTGCCTTCTTTTTTTCCAGTTCTCCTCCATATTTCCTGGACTGGGAAATCAGAAACTGAATTATTATTTTTTTCACTTCTAGATACCAGCACCTTATGGATGGCAATAGCTGTCATTATTGTGTGAAGATAAAAATCCATTCAGCGTAATGGCAGTTCAGACACGGCACTTACACATTTTTGAGATAATTCCCCCCATAAAGCTATGTTACAGTTTAATTTCATACCCAGTATGAGGTCTCTAACAAACAAATGGAAATAATGTCCTGTATCCATGGTAACAAATGAGATACACTTTACCTGATCTTAAGATGGAATTGAATTATAAACTATGGCATTTTAGCTTTGAAAGACTCTTTCAAGACTTATATTCCCTCAGCCTTAAAAAAAGACAGGCATTCCATCCTCCTCGCATTTAAATCAGGACCATTCACATCCAAGCCAAGCCTGACGGCGCTTTTGTCAAGTCCGTGTTGGAAAATGTGGCTGCTGTTCTCCACACGATTAGATTGTCTGCATGCAGGCCTCTCAGAAAAGCAAGGAGATTGCCCAGGCAACTGTCTCTGGGCAGAGAAAGGGTTGAAACTATGGGGAGGCAAGGAGAGGGGAACAGGAGAACACGTCATGGAAGTTGTTGTTGTCATACAATCATAGAATCACAGAATAGTAGAGTTGGAAGGGCCAGAGGGCCACTGGGTCCAGTCCCGTGCCCAGGGCAGGTCTCCAAGCGCCACCGTCCCTCTCAGAGGCACCCTGCGTGCCTCCGGTGTGGGAGAGCCCGCCACCTCCCTGGGCCACCGGTGCCAGTGCCGTCCTGCTCTAACGGTCAGCAGGTGCTTCCCAGCGTTCAGCTGGAGCCTGGCTCGCTGCACCTTGCGTCTGTTACTCCATCCTGCCCCTGGGATGATCAAGAGGAGATCATGGCCTTCCTCTTAGTGGCAACCCTTCGAGAACTTGCGAGGCGCTCTCCTGCCTCCCCTCAGCCTTCTCCTCTCTAAACATGCCCAGTTCTTTCCATCAAAGGGCTTTGTTTCCATTCCCTTTATAAAGGGAAGCCAATCCAAGAGGTTGCTAAGAGGACCAGAAGTTGCATGGTTGTAGCTTCGGAAAAGAGGTCAAAGCTCAAGGTGAAAGGCTGTGACTCTTGCACAAGTCACTTTTTAGCGCTCAGGCACCAAACTACACCCAAGGCTCCATCTCTGGCCACCCCGGCTGCTCAAGAAGCCCCTCAGCGTCCTTTCCCCCTCACTCCACTCATGGCGCTTCACCAAAGTAATGGCTTCTTTTTTCCAGCCAGCTGGCTGGAGGCCTCTGTAAATAAGGATGGATTCCCATAAGGCACACTAAGTTGAAATTTGGGAGAACTAAGCTGGAGACAAGCTCCCCACCCTCCCAGCATCTACAGCTTCTGCAGAGAAAGGATCAATAAATCAAACATGAGAATCTTCCCACCCCATCCTTGTTCAGAGGAGATCCAAAAAAGAAGTCCCAATAATCCCGTATTAGCTTTGCTGGAAACTGCCTTTTGATGCTGTGCAAGCCATTTACTCACATGTCGTATCCATTTGGAAAGATCTGCTTTCTGAAATGGATATATATTATCAGATTGATTTTACACAAAGAAGGCTAACATTCAGACAAATCTGTTTTCATGATGTTGCCATCCACGGAACACGAATTCACCTACTTGGGTTTTGGATGTCTAATCTTTTAGCATCTATTTTTAATCTGTGTTCTCTAGTATGTTGGAAAATTTATAGATAACATCTCAAGGCCTTTGACTAAAACTGATAAAATACATATATATGCGGTTGACGCTTAAGTCTCTTTTAATGGCTACCAGATGTCTTTGCAAATCCCCAAAAGATCACGGTTCCCAGAACTGTTCAGAACAATGGTCTGTCTGCAAGCTTATCTGTGCTAAGATCTCTGGCTGCAAATTCAAGAGAGAAAACAAAATCAGCTTGGGGAAACTGGGCTTGCTTTTGACCATATGTGGGAAGAAGAAAAAGCTCTGTTGAGAAGCCTTAAACTTGCGCACACAGAAAGAGAGAGGCATGCTTGATGGTACAACCTTTCCTCACACCTGGTGGTCACCTTGCTTTCACAGAGAGCATCATCGTTGTCATGCCAGCTGAGATCACAAAGATTGGACCGATACCTTCAGGCCCAAGTATGACATTTAGCCTCCTTGCCTGCTTCATAATCCTCTTCCACCAGCCTCCCTCTTGCCCAGCCATCCAGGATGGCTGCCTGGGGACTGCCAAAGAGAGGACACGCTTCACCCCTTTGCAAATTTAGAAAATGATTATAATTCACACAGAGAGATAACACGTATACTAAGGTGAAAGACCAGGTGATCCGTGATCTTTAAATTGACCTTGGCCTGGGCAGCCCTTCAAATAGAGGATGCCTTCATAATTTAGGGGATTCCTCGATAAAGGATGGATCGTGGCCATTTTGCAGGTAATCCCATCCCTTCTGCCTGAGCTTTTCCTTCTGTCTCCCGCTTTCTTCAGCAAGTTGGTTTGGCCCCCCGAGTCTCGGGCCCGTCCCTCTCCACAGCCTTCCTCACTGCCTCTCTCCCTGCAGCTTGTGGAGCCCTCACAAGGAAGCAGCATGAGGCTGAGCGTCCCCTGCGGAAGGATCTCCTTGCCCGGCTGATTCGGCCGGCTCTGCCGCCTCTGCCCCCCTGCAGCCACAGCCCAGTCCCTTGGCTTTGCTGGGGTTTTGAGCAGTCAAGCGGAGCTTTCCCCCTCCGTGTAGCTGCATGGGCTAAACACGCTTGCAGTACAGGCAAAGCAGCGTGGCCGGCGTCTGCTGCCGGGCAGGGTCACTCGGAGGCCCCGCCAGCCTCTGCCATTGCTGCAGCTCAGGCGTGAGCCCCACGAATGGCCCAGGCACTGCCTTTCTTTTGCCAGCTCCGTTTCAGCTGAATTGATGGAGCCGGCCCCAGAGTGCCCGTCCTCCAGCAAGCGCGCAAACGGGAGGCTCGGGTGAATCGCAGCTCCTCTCCTCCTGCTTCTGCGGAATGGGCAGGTTCACCCATCTTGCTAAGCCACCCTGCGAATAAGCCACGGTGGCTTGTTGGTTGCCCTCTGTGGCCAGCAAGCCGTTTGGCTCACGATGACTCGTTCTCCCCTTTCTCACCCCTGCATTTTCCAGCCTGCTGCAGTGTGTTTCCCAGCATC